GGGATTGACTGTCACGAATAATTCAGACCATGCTTTATTGAAGTATTGAAACAAGACCATACAAAAGGTGCCCACATGCACGATTTGCCAATATAGCTACAAACCGTGAGTAGACACTGCAAAGCACCAAAGTTGTGGATAATTTATGATAATTTGAAAACCACTAAGCACTCAACCTGCTTCAGAACCAGGGTCCTGCAACAATTGACATTGACATTGCAGCTTGGAGTATGCTCAAGGCTGTGCGAAAACAGAATCCTCAACTATATATATATATATAATTGGGTCAAGCAGCGGTAGTTACTGAAGCCTTGCTCCATGAAGTTTCTCGGACACGGCTCAACATTCTGTAAGCAGGAAAATGTCTCAAACGATACGCAATATTCGAGCGATACGCTGCAAACATGTGATGCCTCTCGAACGGGTACTGAAGTGGCATGAGCTTATGTGTCCATGCTTAACCAATGCCGAACACCTTGAGACCTTTGGGCATTGACAATTTGAGAGCTTGCGGTTTGTTGTTTCCCATCCTCACTAGCAGCTGCCAGCGGATACAGCCTCAGGATATCTCAGGATGCAATGTGTGACACCACAGCTCAGATCCAGCTGTGGCCAAACAAACCCACCTATCGTCTATCGTTACCAAAAATTAACAAGTGCCGTTTTGCCACAGAATACCGCAAATTACTTGTTTTTGCTCATAGCCTCTGGCAAGCTGAGTCTCCAGGCTGAAGCAAGCCAGGGAAGCGACAAAGTGTCTGGAGAGACACAGTGGCCCCCGAAATATCCAAAGATGCCAGAATGCTTGCGTGCAAACTATTGAAACAGAATCAACAAACAAATGCAAACAGCAACATGTGTCCGACGACCTGTTTTCTGTTTGTTTATAGTAGTTGCATTTCTGCTTCGAATACCTCTCGCCAGGAGAAACCAGGATAGCCACGAACCTCACAAGGCTCAGCCGGGCAAACCAACAGCCAACAATCCAGTCAGCTTTGGGGTGATTCTGGTACACGTGAAGTGTCGCAACCCCGTGCCTCACCATCCACCTCATGAAGAACAAAGAGTGGGACAATGACTGTGAACATGCTTCAATTGTATCAAGAGTGCAAAGAATATACTTTCCTTGCTAAAACGCATCACATTTGCTGCTCTTGGTCTTGGAAGAACTTGATTTGTGCTACAATCTCCCATGCACTAAGTCATCCACTTGCGGGTCTCCTTCAGACTCCTGCAGGGTGTGGCTTGACATGGCTTGACATGTTGATGTCAATTTGTCTCAATTCAATTCGGAAAGCCAGATCTATTCGCATAAAGTGCCAGTACACCTGTGACTAAACAACCAATATCTTTTGTACAAAGGAATAAACTCTTCATCATCAATATTTGCTGCCATGTGCCCCTGCAAAATTGATACTTCAAATACTTCTCTTTTAACAATGCCCCTCTACATCTGTCAGCCGCAAACTCATACATGGACTTTGTCCACAACACATGTCAAAACATGCACCCAAAACAAGAACACACCGGAAAACTCAGGCACCACGGCCCCCCGCTCTCTAAACGCCTTCAGCTTTGCAAAAGAATAAAAACTCTGTGCAGAAAACACATGTGCTTTAAGTTAAGCCTTCATCTTTGAACGTCGTCTGGGTCTGGATGGGCATCTTTAATTTGATGTTCCTGTACTCTCAGCCAGGAGCCCTTGAGACTATGTTAAGCCTTGAAGCTTTGTCTAAATACCTGTCGGAATTCCTACCTATACTGTGATTCTGCCCACAGTCAACTGAAAATGAAACAATGAACCATGTAAGAAGAGTGTAAACTCTTGTTTGACTCGCCGCAGAAGCAGCTCAAGCTACTGTAGAAACCATGGCAAAGAGGAGGAGGAGGAAATCAAGGTGACAGGATCCGTGTGAAGAAGGCAAAGAAGCTCAAGGATTACCACCACCTGCCCCCTCCTCCACCACCCCGTCCCCAGCCGCATCCCCGACTACCAACACATGCCGCATGTGAGACAATTTGTCGGGTTGCATTGTTAGTTGAATCTTCAGTTCCCTGTTACCATAGTGAATACTAATGTGCTGCAAACCCAATTGTTCCTATGAAAAGATACCTGCCTGCCTTCAAGGAAAATCTGCTTTCAAAATACATTCATTTCGAGAATGTTTTATTTTGAAGAATCTACTGCTCTAAATAAAAGACATGTGTGGTGTCACAGATTTACTCCTTATGTGAATGTTTTAAGTGAAGCCTCCAGCTTTGCAAAAGTATTATTTTTGCACAAGAAGTTCTTTTAGTAAAGCCTTCATCGTTGCAAAAGTCTTTTTTGATTGCAGAAGAGTAAAGTTTTGGTACAGGGACCAATTTGCAAGTAAAGGCAAATGCACACACGAGTTGTTTCCAAGAAGAAACACGTGTTTTCCTTGAAGGAAAAGAGGTTTCAAAATGTCCAATACAATTGCAAAGGAACTGATGTCTTTCAAGAACCACGTAGCTTTGATCACGCGTATTTCAAACATGTTTTGTGCTTGTCCCCGAAAAGCGCTCTTTTCTCAATGCGTTTAATTCCATAAATAAGGAACGGTATGCGGGCAGGAAGGTATTGTGCTTAAACACAGCTGTGATCAGCTGTGCAATTCTACTGAAAAGCAATATGTGTTGCACAGTTTCAAGGACTCCTACAGTAACAGCGATCGCCTCCAACCTGCTAGGGATGGCCTCATAACCTATATAATAGCCATGGCCTCCAACCTAGAAACTTTATGCAGCACCGGATCTGGGAAGAGTCAAACCTGGGAACATGGCATCTGCTGTTTGTTTTCATGTCTGATGGTGAGAGCAAATGGCAGGAAGCAAAGGTCTGATCTGATCCACAAAAACAAAAAATATCAACAACACTCAAAAACATGGACCCACGGACAGGTCCTGAGCAGAAGCTAGACAGAAGTCGTGGGATGACAAGTGTTTTTTGCGGTTGTTTTGTTCGATTTTGTCGTTTGGCTTCCTCAAATATTTTTGCAGCTGAAAATGCTATGGCTATAGGTGTAGCTTTGTTGCCTTTATTGAAACACTGGAAATCTTAGGCCCCATGACCCCCCGCTTCTGTATTTGTACGGGGTGTCCAGGCACTCAGCCCAATTGAGCAATACAGGATCACTGCACGTTGACCAAAGCATTTATGCACGAAAGTAATTCTGGATTCACCCTTCATGTCAGCCCCCAGATTCACCAACCTCGTCAAGGAGGTTTGGCCGTGCTCCCAATTCAGGTGCCTTGGGCAAACTCTCGGACAATTAAGCGAGCCCAACACGTCTTGGTATCTTAGAGGTTACTTCAACTTGTAAAGTGGGTCGCCAAATAGCTTGGCCTGGTTTGTCTCAAAGTAGCACCAGGAGTTCTTTCTTGCAGCCAATTTCTTCAGAAAGTGAAAATGATATATGCCATCGGCTTGGGCATGGAATGGCATGGAGCAACAGTCTGCAAGTCGCTGAAAGTGTCAAAACAGCAACCGGAACGGCTAAGTCCACTGCTGAGACTCCGAGTCGCCAACCTGCCATACGGCTTTAAACAAATATACAATGTATAGCTGATATCTCGATACATAAGTAGTATATATGCATTATACGGTTATATCATAGTACAGTATATGCTTTTTTGGCGTTTATCTGTGTTGTCTTTAGACCCTTTTACCACAAGTGTTTGCCTCTGGGCTTTGGCTTTTAAACCTTTGACAATGCTGATGATGAATGGGGACCGGTCTGGGGGACCTGCCTGCTGCCTCCTCCATGGGCGCTCGCACCCGCACTGGGCACTCCCTGCCGAATCAGGATGTGCCATGGAAAACCCCAGTGAAGGTACTCAGCTGCATGAGCACCCGCTTGGTATCCAGCTTGCAGACAGAAGCTTTTTGATCTGTTCACAAAGATCAAATTAGGACACATATGCTTGGCGTCACTGTACCGGCAAGCTGCCCTGGAACATTCAGCTGGCTGTTCGCCCAAGAATCTGGTTCAGCAACTCAGGCAAAGTTACTCCATGAAAAGGTCAGAAACAGTTTAAATATTTTTAAATACTTCATGTATACACTAGTGTATACCTCTTTAAACTTTCTAGTAAAAATGGCCGGATCACTGGGGCAACCCGTAACAGGTAACAGCCTACTCGTCAAAAATGTTTTGCCAACTCGGCAAACGGGCAAGCACAAGCAGCTGCCATTCCATTTGCAAAAACAACAACAGGAAGCTCCTTGTCAGCTACAGAGTCATACAGAGTCTCTTTAGCACAATTCTGCCCACGCTTTACTTTTCAAGGGAGGCTGCGACTCTTGCAGCCAAAAGACGATGAGTGTTCCCCCCAAAGCAGCATTGGCTCATTTGGGAAGTAAGCATACGGGCTCGGTGCAGGTTTTGCTTCCACATCACCTCCAATGACAATGAGGAGCAAGTAGTTTAGTCAGTTGCAGTCTCTGCACATTCCTGTTTATATGTACGCATGGCAGTTGTGGATGTACCTATGTATATATAAATGTATAATCATATATATACATAACGTAATTGTACGTACAGGTGTCATATATATATATATACATAACGTAATTGTACGTACAGGTGTCATTGTGTGTGTGCAAATGTACGTGCATGTATCAGGATGACATTTATGGCATACGAATCGTAAAGTTTACTTCATTCATCATACAAACAACACCCCTGCATTTCCAATGATGTATATAATCTACACACGTGCCTATCATTAAGCCACAAATGTTGCTCCGGAAATGTCGCTGGCCACTCGTGCTTTGCAGCCTGATGCGGCTTCACGTCCGGATGTGTAAGAGCCTGCCCCTCCAGCCACTTCTAAAAGTGGCAGATCAAGCAGAGTCCTACTCATCCGAAAATTGACATGCCAAAAAAGTTCTGACAAATGGCTTGGCCATTGGGAGGCACTTCTGTTCCTGCTGTATCTAGAATCCCTAAGTTTGGTTGGTTTGATCATGTTGATTTGGCCACTGCCTGTAGAACAGAATGAAACAGAAGTGCAAAAAATCCTAAATGATGCAGGAGCTGTGCGGGAGGACGCCCGTCTCCAAGGCACACGGATTATGCAGGCAAATCAGTGGCGAAGCTCCTCTGATTTAACTCCTGGACAAACCTAGGCATGACTGGCACACTGGACTTCACCCAGTTCACTGTGTCCATGGCTCTTAGCACTCTACGCACTTTGTCGCTGTTCTTTCCATTCAGTTGTCCCAACATGAGCAAGGGCTCCCTCTCGCTACGCGCTATTTCTGTGCCTGAAGTAAACATTACAGTAGCTACCCTTTGGGGCACTCCACCCTTGACAAATCCATGTACATAAACCTACATGGAGATGCCTCAAAAATAGAATCCCAAATCCTGAACGGCATCGCTATGTTTCAATGTGTTTCAGTCTCGCCCGCTCTCTTGCCATCCCAGTTGCTCCAAGGCATATGCAATGATAGGCAAACATGCCTTATGGCACAGATTCTGAAGGAAATCAGGACGAGCTTTGGCCAAGGCACTGGGTTCTTTTTTGCGATCGCTTGTCTGCAAATATCCTGGGCAAGAAGCATGACTGATTGCAGTATCTTGGAGTCCAAAACGAAAGCTTGGATGGCCGTGACAGCTAGCGCCCAGGAAGCTCTTGCCACAGATTTATGAGGTGTTGCAAGCTCAGATACAAAAGTTTGGAAAGTGAGCTGAGCCAGAAGCATGCTGAAACCATCACAGTACACACGACATAGTGCTTGTGCAATTGGTTGACATGGGTTTTATGCTTTTATTTCGCATGCTTCGAATACCCTCGAACCCACACGAACCTTGCAGTCATCTGTTTTCATCACATATTTTCAGTGTGTTTGTGCAGTTTCCGAGTGAATTGTACATGAAAAATCTCGTCGCAAGTGCCGCCAGTGCCTGGAAGCTTGTGGCATCAAGCATCGCCATTTTGACGTCGCTGGCCGCCACAAGACTTCCTCAAGACTTCGCCGCTCACCGTCAAAAAAAGGAAATGCACTGATTGATACTGAAAGCACATCAATGTGTCTTGGTCTCGTATTCTCGTTTATTGTTGTTTAGTGTCGCAATGTGACGCATGAAATCCAAGCGTCCGCGATGCTTCCACCGTGTCCACAGGACAGGTTCCGCTATCCAGCATTTATCTCCGACCTTCTCCACCTGACTCAAACACGAGAAATGTGCTAGATGTGACATTAATTAGCAGCCTGTAACGAGCCTCACCATAGGAGTCGGTATAATCCAAAGACCCGGATGCCACCAAGTACCTTGTTCTGAGACCAAGTGACAAATGACTGCTTGTTTGCAAGAAAAGTGTCCATCCATCATTGTCCATCTGCGGGTGAACACGGAAGGGGAACATGGGCCCTGCAGCACCATGTTCTTCAACAAACTGGGCTAGTTCTACTTCCCTGTTGGGATAACGGAGGGTTTTTTTCCCAAATCCTGGCCTAAAAGACCATCCGGTGCCTCAAGAGCAGCTCAAGCTGCCGGAACTGAGGGCCGAACCGGCCCGCCAAAAGCATAGGGATGTCTCCCATGCTTGAGTGCCAGCTGGCACCATCGTTTATCTAAAATCTGAAAACGACACTCTTCAGTTTCGTCCTGCGGAGAAAGGGATCCAGATAAATACGCATCCCTACATTGCCGGGAGCCATGCCGCAAGTGCTGAACAACGCGGCCACGAAAATGAAAATCACACCCGCAAACAGGACACAACGACCCATGAACATAAAACCAGATGGGGCTCCGCTTACAATGCTTCTTCCGCATGTGCGCAGCCAGGCCGGCAGGGCTTGCGCACACAAAATTGCACTCGGCGCATGCAATGCCAAACTGTGGTCGTTTAACCAACCGATCCAAACAAACAAACGGACAGCAATTAGGGGACCACACATTCAAGACCTCCTGAAACCACAGGGGCCATCTCGCAACAAACCGGCCCCACTCCTCCCATTCAACGTAAAAAAGTATAACGGAGGGTATGCAACAAAGTGTGTTAAGACTTCAATCACTTGATAGCATGAATTTTGCTTGTTGTTCAAGTATGTTCTAGTGACGTCCGTGATTCCAAACTACTTCACTCACAAGCATGTTAGCGCTGCTCATCCAAGGCACATCTTGGGCTCTGAAGGCTCCTCATCCACCTCGAAAACGACGTCGCTGTGCGTTAGGAGGAGGATGCTCATGGCCTGCAGCATGTGTTGAATCTCGACCAAGACCAAAACATGCTGCCCAAACAGTTTGACAAAGGTCGGGTCAAGAAGGGCAATAAGTGGTTTGAGGCAAATGTGTATCCTCTTGAACAAATCTTCAGACAAAAGCTTTGGTATCCATCAATGTGTCAAGGAGCCTGGTGGCATACACGCCGCACAAGCTGGTTCCCTTCCGTGAGCAAGTCCTTGAAAAAGGGCTGGTGCAGCAAAATTCCTGAGTCCAAATGATCCAAATGCACGGTTTCATAAGTAAAGCAGAAATCAACGGGTGGCGATAGGGTTGCAAAAATGTCAAATACATCTGCCCAACAAGAGATGTAGACAGACATGCAAATGTAAACATGTGCTCAACTGTTCAATCACTCAAGTTTCCAGGACAAGTCTTCTATACACTGGAGGATCCGTTGCCTTCAAATTGCCCAGTCGAAGATCATAGGTCTGATATTGCATGTTTGTACTTGCAAAAGGCACTTTGGAACACAACACGTGTCGAAACATTTCAACTCTTCCCGTTCCCTTCCAGGATGCGGGAGTACATCTCGAAATGCATTTGCATTTTCAAAGGTTCTGAGATCACCTCAAATGATGGGAGTTTCTGTGTTTCTTCCCTGAGAACTGCTGAAAGAGGTGGTCGTTTTCTTGATAAGCGCAGTGCTGATGGGACATGAGCTTTATCATTCTTGCACGCAGTGTCTGGAAAGTACTTCCTGGTCTTTGTTCAAGCAGGTGTAATTGTAGCTCAAGCTGTATCACAAGCAAATGTGTAGCGTCACAAACTCTCCAACAATATCGTTTGGCAGGAATGTAAAAATCGTACTGCTAAATTCAACTTGGAAGGTTGTAGTTTGTTTTATGTATCTGTGCCTTGCAATTACTGGCCCTGTGATGCCCTGGAGGGTTCCTTTAACATGTTTAATATGGCCACGAAATGCTGTGAAGGTACTGCCAAAAGCTGAACCGAGTCGGGAGTAAGGTCACCGGAAATGGCATGCTTGGCACTGCGGCACAAACGCTTTGTGAGATTCTTGGGGATGTGGTTCTGGCGCCTTAGACGATTCTGAAAGAGATTCTGTTGCAAGCTGTGTTCGGCTAGACCAGCCAGGAGCCGCCAAAGCCTTTGAATTGCCAAGTGCCGAAACGGAAAAACACGAAATGAGCAAGCTAAGCTAAGCTGCAAATAGGTCTTGAGCGCTGCCATCTGACGCTGTCCGCTACCGTCCTTGCAACTTCGCATCCATCCAACACATTAAACTGTGCAAATACTTACATACAGTACTGTGTTGAGATAATGCGTATTGAAATCTTTAGATATATACAAACAGTCGTGTGAATCTTGTTCAAACCAAACAACTAAACAACATACTGTAATATATATGTAAATCTGGAAATAATTGCAAATTGGAGTCGATGATGTGCCGCTGGGTCAGCCCTGAAGTTAGAGTTCCCAGCATCACCAGCACACACACGAAGCTGCAAACGCCTGCTGCAACCTCGAATAGTCAAATTCTGTCTGCCCAACTAATCTTAGAGACTATTTCAGGGTGCTCCAAGGTCCATCTGAAAAAAAATTGCCAAAGCATGCCAATGTCATGCCTAGTGACACCATACATCCGCTCAGCCGATGTCTCAGGATATATGTTGCTGTTGCCTCCTGAAAACCTGGTTTCACACATATCGAAAAGCGTTCAAACACAAGAATTAAGAACAATTATTATTGCAATGCTTAAAATTTAGGAACCGTTGGAACCTTCCCGTGAGGTGAGGTGTTCCTCAAAGAGCGCGAGTACTTCTGAATGCTACTAGCTATATACTATATTATATATACCACGCTTACAATGTTGGCGTCCCACTCCTTGTCTTATCCCCTTCTTGCTATGAGCAACCCCCCCGACTATACCTCTCCTACCCGCAGTGTTTCCCCAAAAAGGAAGAAAACCAATATATATATATATATGCAATGATTTTGCAATGTATTTCTGCGTCTCCGAGCTCCACACAAAGATATCGCCCACAAGAGGCAAACCAAATAGGATGCATCGACGCTCAAATCTTCATAAGAGCCAGCCTGAGAAAAACAAGCACTGCTTGATGTTGTGTGGAGAAGCCCCAGGAACCTTGGCCTATTGGTCTTTGTCCTGATTGAACTTTTGCGTCGGGACGAAGTTTGAGCAAGACTATCCAGCTTCTGATGCGCCTTCACCCATGTGGTTCCAGTGCCATTGGTCCCAACTGCCCACCAAAAGCAGGCAATGAAGTGGCAAAGCATGACCTGCCGGGGATGGAAAGGGACACTGTGCACAGCCAGCCCGTCCAGGTGGGCTGAAGCAATTGAATGCTAAGGCTGCTGCGAGCACGACAATCATTTTGATGATTTGCGCAAAAATTTCCACAACATCTGATTGGAGGCGTTCCTGCCAAGGGCTACGAGAGAACTGCTGTTAATACAGGTCAAAGACACTTGGAACCCACAAAATGATGCAAATTCCGCCGGGAATCTGTAAGATTGGCCAAGACTTCCTGCATTCGCAGCAGCCGCAGGAGCCTGCACTCGGCGCTAGCCGCTGGACCGCAGTGTGTCGCAGTACAGTTCATGCAGTGTGTCGTGCTAGCTGCTAGCCGAAGGCTTGTCAGTGTGTGACTACATTCTCGTCTCACACAACAAGCTTGACAATTGAGCCAACAGTAAATCGGCAAGTGACAGCATTCGGCACGTGATGTAGCACAAGACCTTTGAACGAAGGTTGCCCCTCCGACAATACGAGTTTTCTGCCTCACGGCTCGGGCCATGCGGATGGCACGCGCCAATTGCCCCAAACCAAGACCACTGCCAGCCACCAGGTATCCTGTCGACAGTCTCGTCGGTGAACAGAGGTCTTATAAAAGCTTAAATCTAAATTAATAGCTTCTTGTTACTACTAGTAAGGCACTTGTTACTACTAGCGTGGCACTTGTAACTATATTCATTAATCATTCCACAAGTCTTGCTATGCTCAGCCCAGCTTCCAATCCAATCTGATAAAACCATACTCAGGTCTGGAAGAAACCTAGACAATGCAAAGAGTTGCGTCCGGCCAATGGTTCTGCTCACAACCAGTGATCTAATCACACATTGACCTACCGGATTAGCAAAAGCAGGGAAACATGTCCACGAATATAGCGCTTACATTTGTAATTGACTTGTCCGGCGGTCGGACCATGGTCTGAAGGTCTACTCATCTTTGTATAAAGACAGCTATTGCGGAGCTGAAGTAGAGCTCAAGGTGCCATGTCTTGAAGTAGCGATGTAAGATGTTCCGAGGCTTGTACTCGATAACACCTTGGCTCTGTTTATGCTAGGGCAATACAGTTACGTATCATTATCAGTTGCTCTAATGTTGCAACAACTTGCAAGCACTTGCAACTGGCTCGCTTTCGCTTGCACAGTTCAATTTGGCATTTGACATCGGCTTGATTGAAATGCATTGGCATTAATGGAAAAAACTGAAGTGAAAAGAGCACTAGCAACACTCCAATAGACTTAAAACACTGAAAGTTGGGAAATATCAATCCAAGATGCCGTCTGAAAGGACAAAGCCAGTGATACATGACATGCCCATGTCAAGTGTCCAAAAGATGCGGCTAAACCAATCCTTGGAAGTGATCGGATGGTCAAACACATCTTTGCAAAAAAAATAGGATAATTTGAACTTTTGAACATGCCAGTTGCTCCAGGAAGGCCAAGAAAGTTGTTTCTTCCAAAATGAAGCAAACCTCCAGCGGGACGAAAATGATGTCGTAGGTGATCATCGCCAAGCTCAGGATCTTAGTACATGTGCTGTGCTGCGCTCGTCTAGCTGGAAGCTGAGTGTCAATTCACGTTCGTCACATTCGTGTCACCAAATCTATCCAGCAAGCTGCATCCCAGTAAACACGCCTTGACGAATCTGGATTTAAAATGTACCTGATCAGGACAGCAGATCGACGGGTTTTGTCTATGGCCACAAGGCTCAGGGGGCCATTCAGCGTGCCACGCAAAACATTTAGTGCGACTCTGTGCAAATCTCATCCACGATCCTTTGACAGCTGAGCCACCATGGCTGGATCTCTGCACCAAAGTCTGGCTCATCTTCCTTGTATGCAGCCTGAGGAGAGAGGACCGAGACTAAACGGCACTTGAGAGAAATAATCAAAGTTGCCGTGCGTCAATGCCGTGCTTCAATTGCCGTGCTCTTGCTCACAGTTGGTAATTGTGCGCTTCATGTGAGAATAGTGTCATCAATACATGCACGTTTCCACGTGTCTCCGTCAAAGTGCCATCGTTCGTCGTTCTTGTGTTTAACATCCTCAAGAACATAAAGCTTCTGTGACGCACCATATAAATACTGTCCTCCCGAAATGCAGCGCTAAGTCGGCATTGATATTTACATTGGTAGGAAAGTTGCGTTTCTTGAATAGAACTGCTTCTAGGTTGGAGGCCATCGCTTCTAGGTTGGAGGCTATCACTTCCAGGTTGGAGGCCGTTGCTAGTAGGTTGGAGGCCATGGCTTCTAGGTTGGAGGCCATCGCTAGTAGGTTGGAGGCCATCGCTTC